CGAAAATACATTTTTAGATAATCCCTAAGAATTTTTTACGCTAAAATTACATATTATAATAAAATTTGGAGGTGCACTAAAATTACATTTTTAGATAATCCTAATAAAATTTTTTACACTAAAATTACATGGTGAATACATTCATGTACTCTTTTTGAAAAAATGCTCTACGGTATTTAAATTACCGTTACTTGTTACAATATAAATGCCTACATAACTTTATTTCATAATAAGGTTACAAAACTTTAGATATTCCATCACAAGGCTGCATAACTTTGGATATTTCATTAATTAAACCAAAATTCATATGAAGATGAATCTGTTTACAATTTCAAAAACAGAATGACATATCACGAAAAAAAGAACTGGCACTAATGGCTTATTTACATCCTTTTATATACTCGATTTACATGTCTTTCGGTAATGGCCCACAACCTCGCATCGACTACACTTAAGAGGCCTAATCTCTTTGTACTCTGTTTGCTTGCGATGTCTTTGGCCGACAACTGGTGGCATTACAATTATATAGATAATATCTGGCAACTCTAGTACATCAGGTAGTGGGTTGAAAGAAAGGGAATATGCCCTATGATACATTTGAACTGTGAAATAAACACTGCAATAATTTATAACATCTTCATGCTTATGATCTTTAGCGGCAATTGCATGACTGCACGACAACCCACTAACATGGCACACCCTACGATTGCATGTATGAGTTGCCAAATTAACAACATAACTCTTATCCGCATTGATCTCATACATTCCATCATGTGCACATGTGACTGTATTGAGGAATTTGGACTTATCCCTCCTCAGGTCTATTACATTTTCGATGTAAGAATGTCGCTCCATTCTAGGGACATAGCTTTTTTCTTTGAAAATTCTCACATGAGATTAACCCTTAGGCATTCAAAGAGTTTAATAAAGGGGTTCTCCCAAACCTGTAATATCCACCGGATGAATGATTCAGAGATGTTCGATGTCATATGATTATACCTACATCTCTTAAAATGTGTGTTTGCCCAATATTTCGAATGCTGTAACATAATCCAATCATAAGCCTTAGCATTTGCACTCTTAATCTTTGCCATGTACTCAACGAAGTCTGATATATACAACGTATGTGCAGCTTTCCAATAAAGCTTTACGAGTGTCGAATTTCTATAGGCCTTTTTGAAGTTATTGGCAAGGTGTTTCATGCAATAGCCTTATTTGCTGCTTGAAAATATTATTTCTAATGTCGCTTGTAACCCTTTTTGACAATCTGAGACAATAGTCAGTGTCGGTAAATCAGACCTCTCGCAAAACTCCTCATTCATAAGCTCTAGGAACCAAGTCCAACTTAGTGTGTTTTCATTCTCAAACATTGCATGTGCTATAGGAAAAATATTTTCATTCGCATCTACCCCAACTGCAGCCAATAATATCCCTTTGTATATTCCCTTAAAAAATGTCTCATCTAGTCCTATTAGTGGCCTACAACCAAACAAAAATCCATATAAACATGGACGAATGCCTATAAATACACACTCAAATCTATCATGATCATTTGTTTGAATGATGGTTAAGGTTCCAAGGTTAGTGACTCGGATCTTATGAAGATATTTAGCAAGATCCTCGATGCCATCACATGGGAACCCTCATTTATCTGTTGTGCAACTTCTTTGCCCCATCATGCTTGTTGGTATGATAACATGACACCTTGATCAAGTTGTATATCATTAACTACGTCCTTAGGTGTAAGATTGGGCATATCACTTAACCGGTCTTTGATCTTGCTTGCCTCCCAATAGCTCTGAGCAAGTGGCTGATGAACCCTACATATTCCCCTAGCACATGAATGCACATTTAGCAACTTCTTCACCTTGAAGAAGTTTGTTGCACCAACCCCACACTTACCATAAACAACTATTTGCAACACACTTTGCCCATTCATGTCTCCCCTTGCTTTTTATGAACTTCATATTGAAGTTTTGTGATATAACATAATCAATAAGATGATTACGGCATGCCTGTACATCATCAAAATCCTAACCAACTTGAAGTACAACTTCATAATGGTTAATCCCAGGGGGTTTTCTATCAAATCGCTGTCGTCGATACTGCTCGATTTCAGATTCATTATCATCTTATATGCTTATGCTAGCAGCACATTCACTGTCGCCTACTTGCTCTGATCGGGATGTGCTGTATAAAAATTTTTCAACACAAGTCAAAATTATCCGAACTCATAACAAATAATTGACAATTATGAAAAATTAATGATTTTCATTGCAAACTTCTTACATGACCAATGTTGATGGACCATTATCAGGTATTGTTGGTTGTCGATATTCATTGCAATCAGACGGACCAATATCGGACACTGTTGGTGGTCGATATTCAGTGCAGTCAGACTCAATAAGTCTGTTTGATACATACATAGTGATGGGAGAAGACCCTTCCATCGTATTGACAATGTCGTCATCATCATCAATACGTATCATGTTACTTGATAACCCTGGGTCAGTATACCTAATAGTCACGCTACTTGGGGCATAATTTGATACTTTTGACAAGTGATCATTGACTTATTCAATTGTTGGGATCCCCTTAAAAAATATAACCTTTATGTCCCCACCGTCATAAAAAATACTTCTATCATTAGATTTTCTCTTAAAAAACCACCAATTGTGTAACATGATTTTCACTATGTTCTCACCCATTATTATTACGTACAAGCTGAATCACTGCATAAAAATTTTAGATGGAAAAATATATAAATATTAAGAAATTCATAATACATACAAATAATGAAGAGGTTGCATGAGGGAACGATGCAAAACATATGCCATAATATAAAAAACATTACAATGGCCAACCCAACTACATCAAGTATTATAAAAAAAAAACATTATTTTGATGCCCAACCGTTAAATAAATATGAAATTTATTTATCCAACAATATAAATAGATCTAAAACTTATTTACTCAAATTTTAATCAAATAACACCAATCACTATAGCAAAGCAACATAAAAATTTTCTTTAGATGCTCAAAACAACCTAATATATTGATGACATACCTATAAATCAATGTTGGTGTGTATATTTGATGCTCTCATAGACCTCGTTCAAAGATAATAGATGATACGATGGAAAATAGATAAGAAAGATAGAATATGGATGAGAGAAAAAAAAATTGGATGAAAGTGCCAAAAAAAGTCATCGAAATTAGGGTTTTATGAAAAAACCCTAAAAAAAAAAAAAAGCGGGAAACATATACGGTAATATGAATACTGTATAGTTTATCCAATTTATTACGGTACTTCGTGTACCGTAATCTTCAGTTATAAAAATACGGTAGTTTTTCTAGCGTAAAAGTAGTTCATTTTATTACGGTATAAAAAATACCGTAAATAATTTTGTATACATTACGGTATTAAAATTACTGTAATGTTATTTACGGTATTTTGACTACCGTAAAAGGTAAACTCATTCGTAAAAACCTAAAAATGGGCAAAAAGGGTGCACGCGAAGTTTTCAAAGATGGTTTTTTTTTAAAAAAAAAATCAAAATTAAGGTATTTTAGCGATAATTTCTCAAATATATATAATGAGATCATTTACTTTAGATAGAATTAGGTCACAATTATTGTTGACTGATATATTTGAAATAGGGTGGTTAAAGATGTGTTATCGTTTAGGTATTTAAAATACAAATTTGTAAATGTTGTGACACACTTTTATCTCTTGATTTCACAACCAATAACTAAAATTGATTGTGACATCTTTGTACCAAAAAGCAATAGTCTCGTACTATAGAATTCCATATCCAAAAGCTCTAGAAAACAAGAAATGACTAATAGAGTCCTAATTGTATTAATTCCATAACTTTCATTTTATTAGAAAATGATCGACAAATCCCTTCAATATTATGTGGAGACACAAATTGTAAAGATCACAAGTTCAACATTTTTTTTAGTTAGCCGACAATTCCTAAAATTCAACATTCTAGTTTTGTAATTGAATGTGATTTCTATAAGGCCTAAAACATACTGTGGGGGAAATCTCTATGATGGCTTTAGAAATAATTTCCACTATTGATTATGAAAATTGTAGCTCAGAAAATAGTACAGATCTTGCAAATTGATGAGTACTTGAAAATGAAAGGTCTAGATAATATGTTACATTATAAACTACTTTTTGGGTTTGAAATCTTAATTTTTTTCACAACATAACGGCCAATGTTGAGACGTTCAACTTGAAAGTTTTCCAATAACAAAATTGTAATTTTAATGAGTTTTGAGGTAACGCATTACTTTTTTTCCTGGACCTTATCTTAATGGGAAAGTATATAACGAGACTATTTACCTTCCGTATAAGGTGGTCACAATTAATCTCGACCATTGGATATGAAATTAGATGGTTGCATTTATTGCACTGACCAAACTCAAAGTTCAAATTTTTTTTTTTTGGAACTTTGTGATACATCTAAGCTATCAGATTTCACATCGAATGGTTGTAAGTAATTATGATCTCTCCATACTAAATGGTCTCATTACGTACCATCTATATTTTAAACTATGAGAAAAGTTTATATAGAGCCGAGACTCTAAACAATGAAATTAGAGCCCACATTGTTCCTTTTAAGGAGAAGAAAGAAAGAAAGAAAACATGTAAATTCATGTAGAAAAAAATGAACTATGGGTAACTCTGATATTTAAGATTAAATGAGGGATACTGATTTATTACCGGTCGTAATAATTCCACCGCGCCGCTTGCAGCACCCTGTGTCCCTGTTTTTTATATTATTTTCTCCCTCTACAAAGCCTCAGGTCTCTGGTTCAAAATTTCACTCTTTTCAATTCTTTCACATTTCTCTGTCTCTAGACGTTTCTCTCTCTAAAGCTCAGTTTTTTCATTCTTCACCATTGAATGTGCTCACGCTCCTCAAACCTCTGAAGTCTCTTTCTTCTCTCATTCTATATCAGGACTGCTCTCTCTCTCCCAAGGCCTCTCTCTTTCTCTCTCTACTTGGTCACACAGTAATGGAGGCCCCAACGCTCCAACAAACCGAACCAGCGGCCCTAAGCCCCTTCAATGGCGACCCCAAGAAGAAAAGCCTCGTCACCACACTCATGGAAACCGCATTGCGCTCCTCCTCTTTCAAAGAAGACTCGTACTTCATCTCTCAGCTCAGAGACTCTGAAAAAAAAGCTCTCTCTGAGCTCAAGCAAAAGCTCCATCTCTCTATCCAATCCAACCAGTTCTCTCCTGACTCAGATAAAGAGACCGAAATCTCAATGTGGGGTGTTCCCATTCTCGGTGGAGACGATCGATCTGATGTCATTCTCTTGAAATTTCTCCGAGCTAGAGATTTCAGAGTCTCCGATGCTCTAACAATGTTGCAGAAGTGTTATCAATGGAGGAAAGAATTTGGGGCTGACTCCATTGTTGAAGAGGACTTGGGTTTTAAAGAGCTCGAAGGTGTTGTGGCCTATATGCACTCTTATGACAGAGATGGTCACCCTGTGTGTTATAATGCATATGGGGTTTTTAGAGACAAGGATTTGTACCAGAAGGTCTTTGGAGATGATGAGAAGCTGAAGAAGTTTTTGAGGTGGAGGGTTCAGGTGCTTGAGAGGGGTGTGAATTTGCTGCAATTTAAGCCTGGGGGTGTGAATTCCATTATTCAGATCACAGATCTAAAAAACATGCCAAAGAGGGAGCTGAGGGTGGCATCTAACCATATTCTCTCTCTTTTTCAGGATAATTATCCAGAAATGGTGGCTAGAAAGGTACTTATTTTTTCTCTCTCTCCAGGAATCAAAGCAAATGCTATTTTTAATTTTAATACAGTAAAGTCAATCATCTCTCTCTTTCACTCACACACAATGGAAAAAATGCTCTATTTCACCCAGCAGAGAAAGTTCTCTCTCTCTCTCTCTCTCTCTCTGTTGCTGATGTTCTTTTTTTTGTAATGTGGGTGCAGATCTTCATTAATGTCCCATGGTATTTCAGCATGTTGTACTCAATGTTCAGCCCCTTTCTTACCCAACGAACCAAGAGCAAGTTTGTTATAGCCAGAGAAGGAAATGTTGCAGAGGCCCTCTACAAGTGTGCCCCCCTTCTTGTTACTTTTGTGACTTTTTTCCTTCAATTTATTTTTTAGGTTCATATAAAATTGTAAATTTGAGTGGTTTTTTTAATCAAAATTTCGTGTTTTGATTAAGATTGAGGTCTTATTAGAAAGTCTGATGTGGTATTTGATTCATTTTCAGGTTTATTAGGCCAGAAAATGTACCTATTCAGTATGGAGGTCTGAGCAGGCCTGAAGATTTGCAGTCTGGCCCTGCCAAACCTGCATCAGAATTTACAGTTAAGGCAGGGGAAAAGGTTAACCTGGAGATTGAAGGCATAGAGGTAAGATAGATTATAGGTTAATAGGTATACTTAGCTTTAATCCTAGGTTCTATGTTTCATGTAAATTTGATTGGTTTTGTCTATGATCTTGGTTTAGTTTTATGATGGGTGTTTCAATTTTTTCGTGCTGTATTCTCTTTCTAGTATTGTTGTGTAGTAGATACCACCTTTTGTGCATCTCATGTGTTTGAGGTCAGTTTAGTACTAGTGTATTTAATGCTACTTTGTATGTTTCACTTGGGGTAAATTGGGTTCATATTTTGACGGTGGGCTACTTTGATATTTGATGTTAGGTGAAAGTGGACCATGAAATTTAAATATTTTTTACTTTGGGTCATGTTGATCTCTCTCTCATACAGACACAGTTGTGCATTCAACATAGAACTCAATTTATGTTGCAATTGATTAGTGGATCATATAGGGGATTTGTGATTATCTCATGAATTTGAAGGATTATCTTCTACTTAAAGCCCAAATATCTGAAATTTCTGTCTCATGAATTTCTAGTATTTCTTTATTTTTTGACACTGGTTTCTTACTTTTGGTGTTTTGATCAGGGTGGATCCACTATAGTTTGGGAGATAGTGGTGGGGGGATGGGACTTGAATTACAGTGCTGAATATGTTCCTAGCTCTGAGGGGAGTTACACTGTAGCCATTGAAAAGCCAAGGAAAATGGTTTCATCTGATGAACCAATTCAGAACTCTTACACTGCAACTGATCCTGGAAAGATGGTTCTTTCGATCGATAATTCGGCCTCCAAGAGAAGGAAGGTTGCAGCCTATCGATACATGGTGCGAAAATCGGCTACTGTTTGAGCTTGAAGATGAAGAGCTTTAGAGAGAGAGAGAGAGTGAGAGAGAGATAAGCTATGTTTATCTTTTTGATAATTAACTAAGATGTGTCTCTGTTTTGTTTTTTTTTTTTTTGCATTTTGTACTTGCAGTCATATCTATATGTAATATGTATACGGTGTATGAGAACTTAAGGTTTTATTGGAGCCTAGTTTTTTTGATACCCTTTTAAATCTCTTTTTGTTTTATTGATCATGAAGTTACATTAAGGGGTTATCTTAGGTGGTCTTGTATGATAATAAAGGGGAAATTTCTAAGAATTTATTTCTTTTTTGGAAAAAGTATAAAATGAGACCATTTACATCGGTAAAGAGATGTCCCAAAGCCATCTAATAATTTGGGTGTGTCAAATTCGAAAAATTTTATTTTAAACTTTGAGTTTGATCAATGAAACAAATGCAGCCACTCAAATTTACATCAAATAATCAAGATTAATTGTGGCAACTTTATACTTTTCTCAAAAAAAAAAAAAAAAAAACCTTAGAAATGTGATTGTTTGGTTGTTTGGTATTGTTTAATTTGAATATTGAAGATGCAAAATGATGAATAAGAATATGCAATGGGTTGAGAAATGCCGAAGTTTTGGGCGAAATTTCGCGGAAATTTGGTTTGAAGGACACGAACTCCTAGTTTCTAAAGGCCTTAGATGGAGACTGGACGATGCTCTGCGATTGCCTTTTTACTTTTACTTTTTCTTCCCCCTTGTTTTCTCTCTCCTCCTTTTGCTGCCCTTTTTTCCCTATTTTACTGACTTTTCCTTGACTATGGAAATATAAATTTAAGGGGTTTTTGTCAGGGTTTTTGTCGTGTCTTATTGCCGCTTTTTTCACGTTTCAATTTTCAATTTCGTGTTTAGTTTTTTTTAAGTTGGCAAGGGACCAAACCTTCACTTTTCTAATGTTGCAAAAATGACTGAAATGCCCTTCTTATACCCCACACGAAATTGTTTGGTGTTCAATCACCATGCGGGCATCCACCGTATATCATTGTGTGTGGACGGTGGATATACCTTGTGTAGCGTACACAACCGATCTTTGGAGTTTAGAATTTAGGAAGGGGCGAGGGTAAGTGTGGTAAATTCCTTTTCCCATATTAGCCAACTTTTTAAATGGAGAATGAGAGAGAGAGAGAGAGAGAGAGGAAGGATTCAAAAAGTGTAAAAATGAGGAATTTTTTGATGGGAGTATTTTATTTTACATATAATAGGAAAGTCCTTTGCGTGTCGTGAGAAGTAAGATATTTTTGATTGTTTAAATGTGACAAACCTGTACATGATTGCAGCAGTTCATTACATGGGATGACACTTTGTATAGTGCAACCATTTTATTCAAATATGGGTGCGGTTTGTATAGAGCCTAGGCTCTAAGCAATCAAATTAGAGCCTACCTTCAAATCTTTGTGATAGAACTTAAAATGTGGTTTTACTATCGGAAATCTTCTTAATAGCTTTAAAATACTTTTTTACATTTATTGATAAAGTTCAAAGTTTCAAAAATAGGGTTAATCAACGTATTTATGAAAATATTGAAAATTGACGGTCTGAAAATGTATTGCAAAATACACTAGTTTCAAACCTTGAAATCCATTTTTTTCTCATGTCTATACATCTTGATGTCAAGATGATCAATTTGAAGATATTTGGGCATCAAAACAACCACTTCTAATAAATGTTTTGAGATAGGCTCAAATTTGATTGTTTAGGGCCTCAGGCTCTATATAAACTTTTCCGGGTGATGAAAAATAAATTACGGGGAATGATATCAGGTCGTTGTGCTATTATAATATAAATACAACAATTCTATAAAACAATGTTTTTTTGCATTTGTACAATTCTAAAGCTTGCACAAACTTTCTATTCATCCTAATAATCAATCTCAAAAAAATAAAAATTCAATTTGCCCAGGTCAAAATAGGTCCCCTCCACTATCGAATCTAGACCATTCATTTGGTGATTTTCAACATCTAAGTTTTTACAAACTCAAATCATTTTTTCTTTAACATTGTTCATCTAATGATAATAATATCATTTAAAGAAATTGGAAAAGAAAACATCCTTCCAAAGCCTAGATATAAGTATCTTATCAAAATGGACGGTTTATGTTAATTGAGATAAAAAAAACACTTTCTAGATTGTGTTTTCAAATTTTGTTTTCAAACAGTTTTTGTAAATTGTTTCATTATATTACTATACAACCGTTGCATGCAATCACTCCCCAATAAATTAATGTTGCATATAAAGTTTGAAAATACAGGTTAAAAAATACGGTTCGATGACCGAGATTGGCCCTTTGGAAAATTGTTATGTATCATAAGATTGTGGTCTAAATACGCGATCCGACTTAGTAAACTGGCAAATAAATTTTTGAAAATAATGATGGAATAGAACATAAACAAATACTAAGAAGTTAAAGCAGGAACATTTCACTACCCGAAGTGGCTAGTTCTGTCATCGAACTGGCCGGTTTATGGGGACAATTGGCCGATTTAGTAGGATTTAGATCGGGCTGATCGATCTCAATTCATATCAGCCGGTTCCAATCTAGATCGCCGATTTTCAAACCCTGGTTATGTGAGTTGCTACAATAATGCAAAGACTCATACAACTAGAGAGGGAGTGAGAGGATTTGAAAGATACCAACAAAATGCACATTGGTTTCCTGATTCTAGAGAGAGAGAGAAAAGGAGAGAGATGAATAATGTGAAGCTTGTGTTCATTAGAGAGAGAAAGAGAGTTGAATAATATGAAACCTATTTTTGTTTCTTTGTTATTTAAGTTTTTAAAAGATGCAGCACATGGTAGTTTCCAGTGAGATGATGCCCCCAACCATTTGAAGCACAGTTGGCTCAGACATGACATTGCAATATTTGATCTTCCTTCTTTGGTTTATAAAAGGGCCAGGGAAAAGAAAGCTCAAAATATGAAAGTGGGGCGGGGCGGGGCCCTATGCAATTTTCTCACAGCCTTAAGCTTTATGAGGAATCTGAGAGAGATAAGAAGCTTTGAAAGATAGCCTTTTGAAAATTGGTGCCTCTCATGTGCTTTATTATTGTTTACTTGCACCACATTAGGGGGACCAAAGTTATCAAGTCTTTGGTACCAATACCTCCAAACTAGTAATTGCATGCCAACCCAGAGAACTGACCTGACCTACTTACAGGTTAAAATGAAACCATCAAGTGCTAGAAATGATTAAACCGTGTTGTTTTTAATTGAGACATTCGAAATTTCGAATTTGTCTTTCAATATCTAAATCCAAGTTCTAAGCCTGTTTTTCCTAACTGCTCTTTGGCATTGTCTACACTTCTACTTTCCAAAGATCAACAATGGAATTATCATCTCGTTCTTGTCGACAAAAGGCTCGTCCCTCTGCTACAGTTTGACGTGCTAGACTGCCAAATTTTACCTTCTTTCTTTTACTTCATGATTTGACAGAGTAGGGTTGTAAAAATATGATTCGTATTTCTTTAGCTTTATTAACGAAAAATGGGTAGGGGAGTGACAAATATGTAGCTCGATGAGTCAAAATCAAAGCTAGGATCCTCACTCGTAATCATGTGAAATGCTTTTGTTGAACAAAGTATTTTAAAATCCAGTGAGTTTCCATACATACTGTCGATCTGGATGGGAATTGGTTAGGACCGAACTAGTTTCGAGATGGCTTGGTTCCAATACAGTTCTCCCCTAAAACCTCATTATATATGACTATATTTTTTTTCTAAGCTTATTTAATGTTTTTTTAGGCACCCTCTGTATCCCTACCCCATAAATACCATTTAAATTTTTATTTCATTTTATTTATTTTTAATTTTTTTTTGGATCATCTATATAGAATGATCCAATATCGATTTGGATCATTGACCTAGCGATCTGACTTAGATATGTGGTTGAAAGATCTAGCCCAGCGATTTGGGTTTTGAAAGGCAAGTTGTACGTGTCAATGAATCACTTGAAGGAAAAGGTTTATATAAGGTTTCAACCTTATAATGTACAAGTAAGGTGCACCTAAGAAACCCACTAGAGAAGATTGTTCCTATGCTAGAAAACCCTCAAATCGGTAATCTCAACCTCAAGATTCATAGGCATGAAAAAAAAAAGATGATTTCTAGTGCTAAAAATAGTTCATCTTCTAACACATTGTTTGGACCGTCCAATTTCAAGATTGTCAAGAGTTTATAAATCTACTAGATCCTCACCATTTCTGGAACTTTAAATTTCATAATTAGGAGAAACAATAGATTTTCATATCACTGCAAGGCTTTGCGGCACCGAAACTGTATTTTCAGCATAGTTTTGAGGTACACATTACTTCAATAGTATATTGTTGATACCTCATACAAATCTCACCTTCACTTGAAAGGCCATTCATTTCTTGACATTGCTTTCCTAGCTCACAACTTTTGCTAGTTTTGTCATAATGGGGAAATGAAAAGATGGGAACATGTAGGTATCACAATATGATGTGTTGAGTTTTTTTTTGTGGTGAATTAGTGGGGATATCGGGCCCTACCCGTTTTATTAACAAACTAAGAATATGTTACATGATCAATTCTTATACAACCTTGGCAAGGGAACACTAGCAACATCAGATAAAATGAAAGGCGTGACAAAGTCTGGGGGGGCGAATTGTTGCTTCATTCATAGAAACCACTGCATTCACCAATGAATCACCAACCATGTTAGCCTCTCTATAAGCGTGTTGGATCCTCCGTTGATGATCAACAAAAGATGTAAGCTTAGATATACAATTAACCAACATTATACATAATCTCCAAGGAGGTTTGCAATGGCAATTCATAGAATAAAAAGCAAGCTTAGAGTCACTTATAATGACAAGAGGTACATAGTGCAAGTCCCTTGCCAGGGTAATCCCCTTTTCAAGTGCATGGAATTCAGCTATGTTATTAGAATTGTTACCCAACGGAGTTGCAAATGCCGCAATGAAACCGCCTGCATCATTTATAATGACACCAATACAACCAACATTACTTGGGTTATGCTCGGAAGCCCCATCAATGTTCAGCTTGAAAACGCCCAGAGGAAGAGGCAAACGGGCGACATGAATTTGAACAGGGGGGGATACCAAACTCCATTGCAGGTTAAGATTGACAGCTATATTAAATTCTAAGGATTGAAATGCCAAATTTTTAAATTTTGCTAATGAT